TTCCGGCACCCATCAATGCACGATTGCCTATGCGGGAGATACCCTGCTTCTGGGTATCATTACTTGGATACTTTACACTGCTTGGGAAGTCCTCGCACTGTGTCTTGCAGTCTGGATTGCTTTAAAACACTTCCGTGAACTGCGACAACATTCGGCAGGAAGGGTGATCGGGGACTGTTTCTTGGTGTTGATGAAATCTCACGTGCTTTACTTTGCGAGGTGAGCTCATATCGTGAACATGGTTACCTTTTTCCGCTGAAGCATCGGACATGCTAGCTCTGTTGCGGCTTCTTGCTTTGAGATTGGTTATGTGTCTCCAACAATCTCAGCGGTATGTCAATCTTACACTTACTTCTGCATGAGACTACGGTTCATCATTTCTATAGGATCAATCTTCCTTAAAAACTCAGATTTATGCTGGGTTTCTAAAAATTTTCACAGTCTCGCAGTTATTTGTGTTAGGACCACGCCTGATCCTTAGCGTTCGAGAATATCACGTTAAGCTCGTAGTCGGCTCCGACACAACAGCCGGCATGAACTCGATCGCTTTCCAGGAGCGTGTGCATATATCAACTGGCAGTGGTGTGTAGCATGGTCGATGAAGTTAACGGTAGTCTAGTGCTCTGCAGGGGGGACAGGTTTTTTCTTGATTCAAAATTTAGTGCTGGTTACTTATTGAGCTATTTGGCGTTGCGAAGTGGACTTTAAACTATGGTGATAGAAGAACAGTCCGATGCTTTGTGAACTTACGACTCTATTTGATGGATCGGCGGTTATTACTTCTGCATGTATGGCCATCGCAGACTGGTTTCGATACTGATTAGCATGATATCGTCAGATAAATATACGTCGTGAAAGCGCTCTCGGCGACAGAATGCTCAGCATGCTTTGACAAGGTACCTTTGCAAGGGTGTGGGGATGTGACATGCCAGGTTGGGTGTGAGGGGAGGCGTGCTCTGACTGATGGCATGAACTTTCGGGTGCGTTCTGGGGCTTGCTACCTAGATCAATTCCTACCGTGACGTTTGCAGCCGATGGAGGTCGCTCAGACTGGCACTGGCTGTATTGTATGGGGTGTGAATGGCCATACTACAACCACTAGACATCTGTCAGTCAATTGCACAGCAGAATGAAGGACATCATGGAAGTAATTGGTGTCTATTCGAGACATTGAAGATCCATGGCATTTCATAATTCGTCTACAAATACATTTACAGACCCAACCTCGGTCTGTGCAGGGGAGACGACCTGAATATCAACCGCGCCAATTCGTGACTGCAGTTTGGCCGAATTAAATCATCGTTGGGTTCAAAAAAATAAGAACACATACCCATATTAAAGTTAGACGATCCTGTTCCAAAAACAACTTGCGGAAGCCATTCGTTGGAAAAGGTGTACGGTAGGCAATAGCAGTGTAAGGATGATTCGAGATGATTTCTTCATCAAAGCACGACTGGGTTACCACACCAGGTTTGCGAATGGGGAGGTCTGATGAGTCAGGATTGTAGATATGTTTTGAACGAGTAATGAGTCGCGTATTAAAATCCCAGATGTGGATGTAGAAGTGACCCTCGTCGGGAAGTTCTTCTAGTCTTTGTCCAGGTTCAGGGGTATGATCTTGAGGGAGGACATAGGCTATTTTGCTACCGAACACACTAATTTGGTGGGTTCGGTCGTGCGGAAAGCAACACGTGTGCTGGGGTCCCCATTCCGACCACGGAATTTGGACATGCGTCTCCGACTGCAAAGCCATTCCAGAAAAGATGATCATGTCAATGACTAGAATGACAGACAGTGGGCGCCATTGTGGGCCTGAAAGAAACTCTAAAACCAAGATTTGTGATTCTGGAGAGGGCACATGGCCGGGCATAAGATCTGTGCAAGCAGCTGTACCACAGAACGATGGGCTGGCATGAACAACCGTGAATCGCATGTCTGATTGACGACACTTCGGAAGGAGATACGTGAGCCGGGGATGCAGTGACCCATCCAGTTCCTGTAATGTGTACACGGTTAAAGAGTTCAAGCCAAAGTCAACAATCGTCCTTTGGTTGACTGCGTGGACTTGTTGCAGATTATCTAGTCCGCCTAGTAAAAGACACTGCTTATGCTAAGCGACGGAGTTTGGAAAGAAGAGAGGCACTTACCCTCTTTGCATATCCCTTCCTCCAATCAATTATTTGTATGAAGGTGGTGGAGACAGTCATGTTCTCCATGTTTTTCAAGTAATAGTAGATAAATATACGATCACCACAGATCGAAGGCGCTGTCACAAAGACATGATACAAACCAGGTGCATCAAAAGTATGCGTGCACTCCAAGGAAATGCAAACAGAATGCGGATGGGGATTCTGGGATGAAGCTAACCGAAACTCCACCCAAAAGACATGGTGATCTTCTTCGGTGTCGGCCACATCGACAAAAACAGTCGAGAAAACTAAGACCACGAGATCCTGCAGAGGGTCAACAGTAAGACGAATCGGCGGCTGGTCCGGAGACAATAGGCTGTGTTTGAGCCATGTCCGGGAAAGGTTGGGAATTCCGTTAGTCTCGAATGAAGAGGCCGCCATGTGTCGACATCCACCACAGGCCACACTTCACGGATTGTGTCCATGATGAATATTGCAGCCATGGGGGAAGTCCGTCGATGGCAGCAGCAACCACTGCCTCATCAAAGACGGTGTTCAAATGAAACTCGGACCGCCACAATGATGTCAATTTCTCGAGTAAGGACATCTTTCTGGAAAGACTGATCGAGTCCAGAGTAGCGGTCTCAGTGAGGCCCTGAGCGTAAAGCTCAAGCTTGTATTGAATGTCTACAGAATTCTGGGCCACATTCCAAAAGGTTTTGCAGGTCTGGTGTTGAACACACAAGTAAATTAGTCTAGGAAGCTATATAGAACAGCGGAAAATAACCGACCATTGCACAGTGACTGATATCCTTTGGAGCAAGGAATAATAGGATGTGGCATATTAACTCTGCAGGAAGGGAGAAAAATTCGACCGCCATCTTGATGGTCTGAGAAGAAGAAAATACTTTTACAGTGGACCTTTCAAGTTGAGAGTAAGATCTGACTTCCTGTTTTGGCCTACGGATGCTGTTCACTATTGCTCGACGAGACGGGATACGCAGTTCCTTTCAAAATTGCATATCTATCCTTCGTTCCAAACGCATCCGACCACCGCATAAGATATGAAAGAGGCGTCAGATCCGATTGACTCAACAAAATTCGATCTGATGGACATCTCCCACCAACCAAGGTCGAGGATAATGCAAATATACAACTGTAAGGATCAATTTACACAAGACCAGGGCATGAGATATTGTAACTTGCTGTTTATCATAGAACGCTGAAATTTATTCTAGTCTGTGGTTCTGACACGACCTTCATCTGCGCAGGGTAAACGAGCTAAATATCACTCCTGTTAAGTCGTACCTACAGTTTGGCCTCAAATTATCGCAGTATGCAAAACTGAGAACACCTACCCAAGATAAAATAAACCGATCCTGTTCCAAGAATAACTGGGGGCAATTCGCCAGCAAAGGCATCTGTCGGACACTAGCAGTGTAAGGATGATCAGAGATGATTTCTCCATCGAAACACGAGCTACCACACCAGGTTTGAGAATGGGGAGGTCTGGTGAGTCGGGATCGTGGATATGTCCGAACGAACTATAATTCTCGTGTTGAAATCCTAGATATGGATGTAGAAGGACGCTGAGGCTGCGCATCGATGCCTTCTAATGTGAACAAGGTTATTCGGCCTTGCGAGTCAGTTATAATAATGGTCCGTTCGCTAACTAGATGAAGAGGTTCCTCAGCCCCGTCGGTGCCTGGTAGACATAAAGGGTTTGTGCTAAGCGGGACACTTCTCAAGAATAGAGGCACTCACACTTTTCGCATATCCCTTCCTCTAAACAATCACTTTGAAGGCCCTAGACACAGGAACAACATCCATGTCTCCTATGTAATCGTAAACAAATATACGATTACCACATATTACATGGTCTGTTCACAAAACGAACGTGGTACGAGCCAGGTGCACTCCAAGGCAGGGCAAAGCTGACTGACACTCCACCCAAAAGACATTGTGATATTGTTCGGCGTCAGCCACAGCGACAACATTATCACGCGAGAAGACAACGACCGCCATGACTAGGGGATCCTGCGGCAGAGGGTCGATAGTGAGATCATTAGAACCATAGCAGCTAGCTGCGTCTGGGCCTCGTCCGGGAAAGATTGGTATTGTGTTACAGTCCCGAATATTGAAGAGACCAATCTGGTCCTCTACCCGTCAAAGCCCACACTTCACGTACTGCTGCCATGGCACGAAATCTGACCCGAACGCAGGCTCACAGGTGACATCAACAACTGCTTCATCAAAAGCAGTGTTTAAATGAAAGGCAGGCCGTCACAACGATGTCAATTTCTTTCTTTCTTGAGTCTTTTTGAAAACGAGTCCAGGTTAGTGGTCTCGGTGAAGCCCTGGCTGAAGGACATCTACAGGATTCCACGCCGCATTCCACCTAGGACTCCATGGGAGGAAACATGGAATAATGGGGAAACGGCTGACTATTGTGCAACGACAAATGTCCCTTGGAGAAGGATGTCACATATTACTAGCTCAGTTACATCGGTAGTGATAGGTCTTAGACGGCAAGAAGATTCAGGGCAGGGCTTTTTCCATTTCGTAAGTGTCTGAGACGTTCTAGACTGCCGGATGCGTCCACGACTACTTTCAATTTCGTATAACAAATTTTCCGTGCAGGCGAATCCGCCCGTCCGCAGAGTAAAGCATAGGGCAAAACCTACTCGATCTAATGGGTCGTCTCCCGCCTACCAAGTTCAATGGATCAGGAGAAACTGAACAGCAGTGCGCCACTGATGGAAATACAAACAGTCTGATTCGACGGTGATGTTAATTTACACAAGACTGGTGACATGAGGCGCGGTGACTTGTTGTTCATCCTGCACCACTGAAATTAATTCCAACCTTCACCTATACAGGGGAGACGACTTGAATATCGACTGTACCAGTACCAGTCCGCTGTAGTATGGTCACATTAAACCATCGTTGTGCTCACAACTAAGAAAACCTACCGAGGTCAAGATAAGTCGATCCTGTTCTAAGAATAATTTGAGCAAGCCACCCATCAAAAATCGAGTACGGCAGACGGTAGCAGTGTAAGGGTGATTCGAGATGATTTCTTCATCAAAGCACGACTGAGTTACCCTACCAGGTTTACGAATGAGTAGGCCTGGTGAGTCGGGATTGTAGAAATTCTCCAAACGAGCAATCGCTCGTTTATTGAAGTCCCAGATATGGACGTAGAAGTGATCCTGAGGGGAGAGTTTTTCCAGTCTTTGTCCAGCTTCAGGGGTATATGCCATTCTGCTACCGAACACGCTGATTTTGTGGCTGCGCTCATGCGGAAAGCAGCACGTATGCTGGGGTCCCCAGTCGGACCAGGGAATCTCGACATGCGTCTCTGATTGCAGGGCCATTCCCGGGAAAATCACCGTATCAATGCCTAGAAAGACAGACGTCGTGCGCGGGTATGAGAGGAGCTCTAAGACAATGATTGTGACTCCAGAGAGGGCACATAGCCGGGCGTAAGATCTGTGCGAGCGGCTGTGCTGCTGAACGATGGACCGGCACGAACATATATAAAGGATGAATGGTAACACTTCGGAAGGAGATATGTGAGTCTCGGCCGCAACGACCCGTCGAATTCCTGTAGTGTGTACACAGTTAGACGGCTCGAGCCTGATGACAACAATCGTCCGTTGGTCGACTACGTAGAATTTATGGTGGAAATCTTGATGGTCTAGTAAAAGATGCTGCCTATACTAAGCGGCAGAATTCTCAAGAATAAATGCACTCACACTCTTTACATGTCCCCTCCTCCAATCAATGACTTTGATGAACGACACAGCAATTGTACCACGGTGCTGTATGTCATAGTAGACAAATATATGATCACCGCAGATTGCAGGCTCTCCAATAAAATGAACATAGTACCCGCCAGGGACATCAAAAGTATGTTTGCACTCTAAGGAAGCGCAGACAGAGTCCGGATGGGGACGGTGGGATGAAGCTGACCAACACTCCACCCAAAAGGCACGGTGATCTTGTTCGGCGTCGGTCACGGTTACAACATCAGGCGAGGAGACTGTGACCACAAGGTCTTGCAGAGGGTCGATAGTAAGATTTTCCGGTTGGCGCTGAGAGGATAAGCTATGTAAGGCCCATGTTCGAGAAAGGTTGGTATTTGTGTTATAGTCCCTAATGAAGAGATTGCCATGTGCCGACATCCATAAAAGACCAGCACTTCATGCTGGACAATGACAATGGTAGTGAATAATGTACGGGGAGGGGAGAAATCATCACTTGTTCTTCGAAGACGGTGTTCAAATGCAAGCCAGACCGCCACAAAGATGCCGATTTCTTGAGCAAGGACATCTTTCTGGAGACACCGATCGAGTCCAGGGTAGCGGTCTCAGTGAAGCCCTGAGTATAAAGCTCAAGCTTGTATTGAATGTGTACAGAATTCTGGATCACGTTCCAGAAGGCCTTGCAGGTCTGACATTGAAACTAGAAGTAAGTTCGTCTGAGAAGCAACATGGAACAACCGACTATTGCACAGCGACAAATATCCTTTGGAGTAAGAATTAGTAGGATGTGCCATATCAACTCTGTAGGAAAGGAGAATAGTTCAATCGCCATTGATTGTTGTGGTAAAGCGCTTCGGAAGAAAATAGAAAGGCCGACTTACATCCTGTTTTGGCCTTGCCGCCGGATGCTGTTCAGAACCCAGATGCGACTCGATCAGTAGAACACCAGTTTCCTTCAACAAGTTCGTTGATCAATTATTCCGTCTAAGCTCACACGATCATCCACAGAGCAGTTCGCGATGGCAGAAGGGCCAGACCCAGTTGATTCAATGCTCGATCTGATGCGTCGTCTTCCACCTACCAATGTCGAGGAGAACGTGAATGCACTCATACAGATCTGCCCGGACTATGCAGATGACCTTCTAGGTAGTGTCGACCAGCCCCTGAAGGTCAAGACAGACCGCGCAACAGGGAAGGATTATCTTGCATGCGATTACAACAGGGATGGTGATAGTTATCGGTGAGTCTTCTGCTGCGCTTCCGGTGAATGTTCAGGGTGACTGCATAAGTTGGATCTCGTGGAACGACAAGGACTCTAGTCCTATTTCACGTATCTGAGTCAATGTGCTTCACATATTAACACACTTCATCAGGTCACCTTGGTCGAATGAATACGATCCACCCATAGAAGATGGTACAGCACCAACACCGAAGCTTCGCAAGCTTGAGATTGCCGCCAATGAGGCGTTCGATACATACCGCGAACTGTACGTGTGATACATAGCTTACGCTTGCAATGAATCTTTGCACAGGTATTATCTAATAAATCTTGGCAATAGATATTACGAAGGCGGCGTGTCTTCTGTTTATCTTTGGGACCTCGAAGATGGCGGCTTTGCAGGCGTTGTGTTGCTCAAGAAGGGTAGGTAGCGGACTGATGTGTTTTTTACCGTTCTGAGATCAAGTCTTTAACTGCCTGCACCTTAGCAATGACACCCACAAGTCCTGACGAGCCCTCAGGTTCATGGGACTCGATCCACGTCTTCGAGACCGCGGAGCGCGGAAGACAAGCGCACTACAAGCTCACATCTACTGTCATGTTAGAGCTCGTGACGAAACAGAACAATAAGGCCGATGAAACCTCCGTTCTCGGCGAACCAGAAAAAAGGGTTTCTGAGCAGGGATGGAAGTCGTCGGGGGAAATTACTTTAAGTGGAAGCATGACGAGACAGGTAGGCTTCCTCGTCTAACCTGAGATGGGGCTGTCACACACCTTCACTTCACGCAGACCGAGCAGGATTGGCCCGTTCATGAACCGACTTCACATATTACGAACACAGGAAAGATGATCGAAGAGATGGAAATGAAAATGAGAAATCTTCTCCAGGAGGTACGAAGTTTTCTTTCTTTCGACATTCAGGGACTTGATCACACCACAGGTGTACTTCGGGAAAACTCGTGATATTGTCTATGATCTACGGAGCGTAGATGACCTAGAAAAAGCGCGACAGCAAAGAGAGCTGCAGAAAGAGCTGGTTGGATTTATCAAGCGTTAGCATACCCCGGGTGTTCTACAGCAGTAAAGGAAATCCATCGGATGTAACGATTTTGGAGTTTGCACTCAAACTGATACAGAAGGTTCACATTCAGGATCAGCGTGGAACTAACAGAGCGTCCCGCAATTGGATTCGAGTGGATAGTCACCTAATGATCATCAAAGAAGATCACATTAGCACACCTGGTGCCTAGTCCACTAGTGATAACATACATGTGTCAATTTGATCTCGGAGAGCGGTCTGTTCTTATTGTTCACAGGAACGCGCTCCATAGCATCAAGTGTGGAGTCCGCACCATCGATGACCTTGCCGAAGATCGTATATTTGTTGTCCAGATGAGCTGTTTGCATAGGTTATGAAGAATTGCGACTTGCTCGTGTCGGGGCCGGAGTTTGCCATGGCAACAATACCACGATTGTTAAACTATGTAGAAACGTGAAGATCCATCTGCTCGGCAAAGATCGTATCCGTTACCTTCAACGTGGACCGCAATTCGTCTTCGAATGGTTTTCCCCATTATGCTTTGGCCACCTTTTCCAGAGCCAGAAGGATCGCCCGTTGGGTCATGAAACCTTTGATGTTGCGGTGAAATATACAATTGTCATAATAATTCGAAGCGCACAGCGCAAGAAAGTTCTAGGGCTTGTCAGGCTCGGAAGAGAGATAAACAGAAACAGTGTCATACCTCTGCCGTTTTTGGGACAGCCTCACAGAATATCTCGATCTGAATCACCCAAAATTTCCGGGTGAATCGCAGAGATTTAGTTAGGCATATATAGGCGCACCTTAAGCTCGCCGTGGCTTGTGTGAAGCGTTACAGACTACAAGAAAACTGTGAGTCAGTAGATGCGTTGATGGAGGAGAGGAGAATTACCATGCGTGATAATGTGACTGTGACGCAACGGGCTGTGACTGCTTAGTCTTTAATAGTTCTCTCAAAGCCATTCAATTCGGATAGTAATATCAACGGCTTTTTGCCTCACTCAGCTCTTGCCTCTGTACCACGATGATGCGAACTTCTTCTATTCGTAGTCAAGATGACCCCTTGTCTCTTGCTATACGGCCTCCTCTTGAAGAATCAGACTCAGATCGCCATGTTCGGCTGCAGCACGAAGCTGAAGCGCGTCGAATCTCAGAACAAATAGACGAGGAACTCAGGTTTGAGAGGGAAAAATTGAAAAAGTCCAAAAGTGATGTCAAGGTCATTTCAAGTCTTTTTGAGCACGATTAGGTTGTGGAGCTAATCACCGTCGTATGCGATAGCTACTTCTCCTCGGCCAGGCCGAATCTGGCAAATCGACACTGCAAAAGCAGTTCCAGCTCATGTATAGCCCTGCTTCTCTTGAAAGCGAGCGCATGTCATGGAGAACCGTCGTATATTTCAATGTCGTGCGATCCATCAAAAAGATCCTTACAACCCTAGAAGCTTGGGACGACATCGATGATGGAGTGACTCTCAGAGCACTCTCGAGCGTCAGGAACTCGGTGATTATCTTCCCCCCGGCTTCAAGTTCGGCAACACCCAGTATACACAGTTCACAAATCGGTGTTGCCCTTTCACCGCCGTCACCTACATCACCCACTAGTCCAACTGCTTCTAGTCCCATTCGGGGATCTACTGCGATATCGGATCTTCGGCGACGGCTTTTACCACTCACAAATACCGAGCCTCAGCTTGCTGATCGCTTGAGTGGGGGTGTTTCTGTGTCGGGGTCCGGCAAAGGCGAAGTTTACGTTCGAAGCGGATGGCAGGCGAGGACCATCCAAAAAGGTCAGAAGCTACTCCGCAGGCAACCAAAGCCCAGTTCACCCGAGGACGAACTGACGATTGAGCGTCCCGGAACAGCTCTGTCAGTTATTGATGCTGACCCTCTTGTGGATGACGTCGCAAGAATGCTGGAACAATCAAGGGAAGATATCCGAACCTTGTGGGAGAACCAGGTTGTTCGTGCCTTGATGACAAGCCGAAAATTAAAGCTAGACGAGTGGTCAGAGTTGTGAGTATGTGCATATATGCATCTTCCTCTTCTCTAAAAATGGAATTTTACGCGCAGTTTCTTGAATGACATCTCACGCATCTCTGCACGGAATTATGTGCCGTCCACTGGTGCGCGTTTTCGTCGAGCCGATGTCTTTGTGCTCACCTCTTCATAGACGATATTCTCCATGCACGTATCCAAACTATGGGTGTCGCTGAGCATATTTTCGACGTTGACATTCACGGCAAGACTGTGACGTGGCATCTGTTTGACGTTGGTGGCGCCAGGGGACAGCGTCATTCGTGGGTGCCATATTTCGACGACGCAAATGCCATCATTTTTGTCAGCCCAATCA